TCGCACAGCAGGGGTTGCGGAGATCGTAGGGGAAAATGATTCGACTTACTTTGTGGGCTGTTGCTAAAAAGTCTTCTGCTTTTATTTTCCCTGCCTGCCCCGCTCCGTCCCCAGGCTTGCAGTCAGTGTAAGCATCTGACCTGACTGAATACTAAACCTACAATTTTTTTTTCCAAAGTTGTTTTTTTTTTTTTGTAAGCTTTTTCAATTCTCTATGTAAACACTACTGCCAGCACTGGGAGTTCAAAATGCCTAGAGAGTAAGGCCGTCTATTTTTCCAGCAGCTTTCAGTTAAATTGTCTCCAAAGGATTCATTTTTTATTAAACATATGAACATAAACATATTAAACATACGAACGTAAACACATTAAACAGGGAACAGTGCCTGGAGACCTAATCTCGCTGTGATCTCTGATGTGTAGGTGTCAAATAATAAAAGATTATTCTATCTGAAGCTATAATCTGAGTATGGAGAGAGGAGGACTGGGAAAGGAGTGCAATCAAATATGGTTTTTTGCACCTTATTTTTGTATTCTCCCCTTTATGAGCTAGGTTTATCATAATTATTTTTTTTCTGCTAGAACAGATCACTTAAATACTAGTGAAGTTGAGCAGCCACTTAAATACAAATATGGGAATAATGTATACACCTGTTCATATACAAAATTCAGGCTAATATAATTAAGCATGCAATTAAGAAAGAGTTTATTCTGTAACAAGCTGATGATCAAGGAGTTCCTATGGAAGCTGGGTTTGTTACTTAGGTCTCAGATTATCAACATTATGTCAAGAATATTGAAAAATCTTGGTTTTAGATTGTTTTAGTGTCTAGAACACAATTCTTGGATTTTGTTGCTGATTTCTTTAATAAATATTTCAGAAAAGGTGAGGGATGGAGTTTTTTTGCTTGAGGCACAACCTGTAGAATTTAGAAGCCATGCCTGTTCAGTTCAGCTAATTGATTAGAGCAGGGACGTTGTTAATCCCTAGCTGTGCCTTTGCTATGCCCATCTGCTATTGTGAGCAGACAGAATTTTTCCAAGCGGCTCAAGTATGTTGCTTTTTGAGCAGACAGAGCAAAGGAAACACGTAATCTGAAATATACACCCTTTATGTGAGTCCTTGTTCTGCAGCTGATGCTACCTTAACAAATCCCTTTTTCTCCCAGCTGGTTATGATTCTGCATTTCTGAATCTTGTTGATAATTTTTCTGCCCCAGACTGACCTACTTGTTTGTCAGGATTTCTGTCTTGTCCTTCACTTTGAGATCTCTTTGAAGGAAGGATTGTTTTTTTCTGTATGCTTGTGAATCACCAGCAACAATCTGTTTTGTGTGAGCTTTACTTTAATCTAAATGTTAAGTAATAATTTTATTATTGTTTAACATCTGTTTGTTTGCATAGTTCTTTAGTGTCTCCAGGGGGAATGAGCAACAAATCTAAATACTTTGTTTCTTTTTAATAGCCTCCGGGATAAACTTAGGTGTCAGACCACAACCACAGTGTGATTTATGCCTCCCTACTTTAGACTGGAGTGAATTAGCATTTAATCAGGTTGTTCTTTTATTTTCCCTAGCATAAAGTGATATATGCAAGAAACGCTCCACGGGGTGATAATAACCCAGATCGAGTCTGTAATATTGATTTTTATACACGTAGCGTAGCTTTGCATGCCACAAGAAATAATACGCATTTTTGCTGCCAAATTTTCGCCTTGGGCCAGATTTGGACTATCTGCACTGGTCACAAGAGGAGCTTTGAAAGTGCGTTGTCTGTAGTAATGAGCTGTCCTGGGATAAACTGCAATTCTGACATAAGGCTTCTTCCACTACAGTAATCCCATTGTGGAGTTGTCCCAGAAGAATATTGCTGGATGCCTGGTTATGTGCACATTTTTTGCTGCTAGAGAAGATTTAACTTTTTCATTTTTTAAGGTATAACTTAGTACGCAAATATTAGAGTTTACTGATGCAGAAACATGAAGCAGAGATAAGGAAATGACTCATGCTTAGTTAGTTCTCTTGGGGAAAAAGACATTTTTAAAAACTTGTTCGTGGAGATTATTCTGTCATTGTGGTATTATTCTGAGATAGAACTTCATGTATATCTTTATACATGCAAGATGAGTTTTGATTTGTATTGAATCCTTCTTTAGCTCATGTACTAATAGTCAGTTTTTAGAACCAGAAGTTCAGATCATTGCTGTCTATAACATGTTATACTGTGTGGGAGATGTGGGAGTAGAATAATCATCTCATTCCTGAATGATATAGTCAGCTGAGAACTCTTTGTTATATGTGGAATGATAGGATTCCCTTCCTGCTCCTTTGTGCCTCATTTTCAGTGTGTTTACACTGGAATTCATTTGCCAATGTTTGTGTGCACTGAATTTCATATGCCATTACTATTATCTAAAATGAACTTTACATGATGTCTGAAGACTTTTATTTTTTCATGCTTGGTTGTAAGTATCCTTTTTTTTTGCACTTAATTGTGTTTTCTTAGAACCAAACAAGACTGTAAGTTATTAAATACAGAAGGCTGATCTCCCTTTTTTTTGCTATTCCACATAAAGCATTGAAGTATTTTTGCTGATATGTTGACAAGGAAGAAGAGCAGCATTCTTAAGGGGGTTATATATCAATATTCATTTGCCGATAATTAGAGAAATGTATACTTGGTATATTGCTTGTGTATAACGTCTCTTAGCTCTTTGTATCAAAAACTAAGACCCAGTGTGTTATTTTAAATATATTACAGATGGGCTGGAAAATGTACAGCAAAAGAAAATATTTAAAGAGAACAAGAAAAGGACACAACAGAGAAAAGAGCCATGTCCTGCTGATTCAGTAGAGTCTCTGATGGCAGAAATGCCATTTGTCGACACAGATATTGAAGATGAATTTGTTAGTAAGTATATGAAACAGAAGTAGTGTGGAAGCAGAGACACATCCCGCACTCAGTTCTTGGTCCTGCCTGTTGGTAGGTACAGTGGGCTGTGCACATGGAACCGGGTCTCCCTGCGAACAGGATGTAGCCCAGAGCCTCTCTTATTAGTACTCCGTCCTGCAAATACTTGGGCATATTAAAAATTTATCATTTTGTGATCCATTGCAGCAATGAGTCACAGAATAAAGACATTTCGTATGTAAATTCACATTACTGTATATGAGCTGCTCATGTGCTGGCTTTTATGAGCTATCTTCCAATATGTGTATTCCCTGCATGTGGCTGTAAGTGCACCTCTGTCGTGGTTTAACCCCAGCCAGCAAAAAACCCCCATGCAGCCGCTCGCTCACCCCCACTTCCAGTGGGATGGGGGAGAGAATCGGGAGGCCACAAGTAGGAAAGCTCCCAGGTTGAGATAAAAACAGTTTAATAAAAAAAACCAAAGTAGAACAGTAATAATAGCAGTGAGAACAACAACAATAACAGAATATACAAAGCAGGCGATGCACAAAGCAAATGCTCACTGACCGCATGTCACGATCGGGGGGCGAGGGCCCCCCTCCCCTGGTTTTTATACTGAGCATGATGTCACATGGTATA